GTAAGCCTTGGTGTCACGGGTGCCAGCCCCAGGGCAGCGGTGCCGGGGGTCTGGGGGCTGTCCCTGCTGCTGTTCCCTGCCCCCCGGCAGCTCATCCCCCGGGAAGGGAGCAGCAGCAGCCTGGCGTGTGGCAGAGGTGGGTGGGAAAGGCAGGGGTGACACCAGGGTGTCTGCATGGATGGACAAAGGGGAGGGGGTCAGAAGTGGGAGAGGGGAGGTTTAAGTTAGACGTGAGGAGGGAATTGTTTGGTGTGAGGGTGGTGAGAGCCTGGCCCAGGTTGCCCAGGGAAGCTGTGGCTGCCCCATCCCTGGCAGTGTTGAAGGGCAGGTTGGATGGGGCTTGGAGCAGCCTGGGCTGCTGGGAGGTGTCCCTGCCCATGCAGGGGGTTGGATCTGGGGGATCTTGAAGGTCCCTTCCAACTCAAACCATTCTATGATCACATAGGTTACTTACTGCCCGGGGCTGTTTTTTCTCCAGCACCCCACATCAGACTGACCAGCCCTGCTGCTCAAACCTGCTGTGAGATGGGGAACCCTGCCCAGGTGGGGACTGGGATGGGGCAGTTCCATGGCACTGGGAAGCTGCCCTGCTGGGAGAACAGTGCAGAGGCACAGCTGCAAAGGGCTCCTTACCTGAGGCTTTTCCAAGTTGGTGTAACTTCCAGGCTCCTTGGCCCTGCTGAGTTGCACCAGGTGGTTGCTGAGGAGCCAGAGGTTGGCCAGTGTGAGGAAGGGGTGCAGGGCAGGTGATGGGAGAAGAATGAAACAGGGTTCCTGTACTTCATCTGCCTCTAGGCTGGGAGGGAGCTCTCAGGCGATTGCACTGCAAAAGAGAAATTGTTCTATGGGTTAAATCTTTTAAATATTCCATGTCTGTTGTTTTCTAAGCTGCTACTCAGATTTCTATTGCCCTCCGTCTGTGAGATGCTAGGAGTTGGGTGCCCAGATCCCAGACTTATCAGTCTCTTCAGGCTCAGACCAGACCTGGGCTGTACCAGCAGTGCATCCTCCTCTTTGTTTTTGTTACAAGTTGCTTTTCTAAGAGGCCTGTGAGATGTAGGAGCCTATAGCCTGGGAACACTCACTCCTATGTCCCACAGGCACTCCTTGAACTTCAAAGTTCACTGTGAGTTTTATGATTTGCTGGTTATTTCCTGTAGTTTCTGAACAAACAAAAGGCTCACGTGCTGGGCACAGTTCAAGGTTATAGTAAGGAAATCAAGTCAGCCATACATCCCAGTGCCCTTTTTGGGATGGAAATGGTTCCCAGCCCCAGCTACCACCTGGAGAACAGCCTGTCCACAGAAGGTCATCTGTCTTGGTCTGGCAGCTCCTGGTGACAAAAGCTCTTCACACCCACAGTCTAAATGACATCTGAAGAGAGGGACACTGTTGTGGCCAGCAGTTGTACTGTCAGGCCAGTGCTTGGCAGCTGAGGGAAGGCTTGAGCAGAAAGCAGGACTGGAAGGGCGGCCTGCAGGGAAGCAGCTGAT